ATATGTTTCTATGCAACAGCCATTTTTTGTTAAATGCATGTGCTTCACCATGTTTAATACCTATATACAGATAAGGGATAAATTTTTGTGTTGTTCTGTAGAAGAAAACTGCACTTTTCTTCTCTACGTACCTGATATTACTGACTCACTGTGTCAGCAAGAAACAGAAGATGACGAGGTCTTAGCATTCCAGTGCACAATTTAGGTTTGCTGTATCTGTTATGCGTGGATTTATTGTTTCGTTTAATATTGGGAGTACAAGGCGTCATTGCTTCGTGTGCACCTTGTTGACGATTTGTAAAGTTCATGTCACACGTAGTGCTCACCTATCATAGAAATTGCAGTCAATGGCAGGAAGATCTTCACTCGTTCCATGTGAAATCTCGACAAAGAATGAGTGCGTCAATAATCGGTGAATAAATTACGAAAGTTTTCATACTTAAATGTCGCATCGTAGGGTCTAACCCTTCATTCTGCATTTACCAGTTGTGAAAAGTTTTTTAATCGTACCTATTGAATCTGCGCACTGTTTCCATTTTTATTAGCTTGATCTTTGTCGAGAAAGTAAGTTTTCACACGCTGAGAGTGGTCTAAATAGACTTATGACTAGCTATGATATGATGTTTAACCAAAGTTTTACAACAAGGTGTTTAGCAAAGTTTATTGCAAAACAAGAGGCATTTGACTACTGATGCATCGGAGAGACTCACGATAATAAGAGAAAGAACCTCAAAGTATTAAAGCTTATATCAAACAAAACACAAAAACCATAAAAATACTACTGATAACATCGAGTCGATTACACAACTTCAATCGCTGTACAGAATATAGATGCAGAACAATGAATTTAGTTTTGTAGTAGTTTACTACAAAGCTAAGTTCACATGTCCGAATCTCTATATACCTGAAAATACGGTTCTAAAAATTTATAGTATAAAAGCCAGAAATTATCAAAGTCTAACATTTCGGAAGCCTTAATCTCTCCAAGACTAAAAGTAGAAAAATCTAAAATCTTCATAGACCTTTAGACATCAGGATATACAAAATTATAGACTTTTAGAACCACACTTCGTAGACACTTGGGCTTTCAGACATTTAGACTTTCAGAGCTTTACGTTTTCAAGCTGCTAGACTATTAGACATTCAGACATTTCGACCTTTAGACATTAAGACTTTTGAGCTTGTGCATTTTTAGTTTTTAGATTTTTGAACCCTTAGTTTTCAGACTTTGGCACTAATACTTTCCGATTTACAGTTAGAGTCAGAAGTATAATAGCCAGCTTTTAATAAGCTAGATCTAGTTAGGCGATACACATGGCAGGAATGACTACTTGTAGAACGAAATAAAGGTATATTTTGTGTTAACTAATTTTGCTTTTGTGGGCGTTCAGTTTCCGGTTCTTGACATTAATACTTTGACAGTAAAGTTTTAGGCCTTTACATCGTTGGATTTTTAATCTATCGGACATGCAGACTTCTACACATTGAGACTTCCAGATTTTTAGACTTCTAGAGTCTGGGACTTGTAGAGATATTAAGACTATTATTTTTTGACTCCATATTGACGGACATATCAGTTAAACAGATAAGGAAAAAGCGCTTGTCTATTTTCTTTTCAAAACGCTTCGTCTCTTTTCTTCTTCTCTACTATACCTAGTCAAGGGCAATCTCAGCAATGAAAAACGAAACAATATGGACCAGATATACGTCATTCAACTTTTTTTCTGATTCTCTTAGTTCTGCTATACAGGTATCTTTTTCTTCGAAGTTTTCTCTCTTTCGTGTAATACGTTCTTGATGAGAGAGAGAGAATATGAAAATAGAGTTATATTAATTACGCCAGTTGAAAGTGAGGAAAAGAAAAAGGACAAAGTATTCTTAATTTTATTTTTCTTCGATGAACAATTTTGACTAGGCTCAACATTTGAACAGAAAAATAAAATTGTTTAATTGTTATTTGTAGGAGAAAATAGAAAAGCACTTTTCTCGTCGCTATTTAACTGAAATGTTTGTTAATAGAGCCAAAGCACACTGAATCAGAAAAGTAATAGTTCAACGATTATTTAACTGTTTCCAAATGATAACATGCATAGAACATCTGTCTGATGAGCTCATCTTACAAATATTTGAATATTTAAAACCACATATATTGTTTGATATTTTTCAAAACTTGAACAAACGTTTCAATTCAATATTAAATGATGTTCATTTATCGATTGATTTAAAGTGTAATATGTTAAAAGCCCTGTTTGATCAATATTGTCATAAAATATCGAAGCATAAACAACGATGTCAACAAATATATTATCTCAAACTATCTGATATGCGTACATTTGATCAAATTGGATTATTTATGAAAAATTGTTGTATAGAATCTTTCACTCATTTACGATCATTAATCATTAATGATGTGTCATTGGCTGATTTCAAAGTAATTGCATCGAAATTAAAATATTTAAAATATTTGTATCACGTAAATGTTAAACGCGCTCGACCAGGTAGCCCTCTAGAAGAGGAAGGACATTATATTTATAATACAATACTTGAACATAAATCATTGAAAAAATGTTCATTATTAGATTTCGATAATATGTTTGGACGCTTTCATCGTGAAATGATATCAACTTTGGAATATTTATCAGTTGATGTGCATGACAAACAGGATGTAGTAAATTTAATCTATTCATTACCAAACATCAAACGATTAGCTGTTAGCTGTGATTCTACGTCATCTAGTAGTCTTATTTTTCGACATCCGTCAATTCCATTTGGTCGTAGTCTTAGATATTTTGAATTGTCTGATGGGCAGTTTCGATTTGAAGAGGTTGAGTTATTAATAAAAAAACTTCATCAAATACAACAATTTTATTTCGGTGGTGCAAGTAGTGACTTTCTTAATGCCTCTCGTTGGCAAGCTGTTTTGTCAACGATGCCGCTCTTAATTAAGTTCAAATTATATGTTAATATATTTAATGTTCAGTCATCATCAATTCTTCGTCCTCTGCTGGCTTCATTTTATACTGAATATTGGCTAAAACGAAAATGGTACATGGCTTGTGAATATGATAAAAGCAATCGTCATTTAGCATTCTACTCTTCCCGTTATCATCATCGTTCTATGGGAGTGGGATCTTCTATACAAACAGCTACCACATGCAATAACGATTTCTTAGCATTGTAAGTTGACGCATTTATGTAGAAAAGTTCGGTGTAGAAAGTATTTGCACATTGATTCATGATACAGAATTATAACTACGGCAGAAATTGACAGTTAACTATTCAAAGTTCTAGAGGACAAAACTTAGTGTCGTTAATTTGCTGCGAATCCTGCAACCAATTTTTTTGAAAATAGTAAATATTTTAGGTCTAATTCTTCGTTTTATCTCAAATCGTCTGATGACAATTAATGACAAGTAATGAGGGTAATTAAGGAACATTCTATGATATTATTTTACTGAACAGAATTTAAGCTTCTATTAAGACACTTCGCCTTTCCTCATCGGATCCAGGAGCAGGTTCGCTACAGTACGACTAAAACATATTCTGAAAAATCTTTATCTTGCTAGAAACCTGCATATTATACTAGTATATATTCAAACAACCAATGTTTCAGTGTATTCGAACAAGAGTTGCCATTTTCGATTGATCTTGCCTATTTATTGAATGATCATGAACAGACTAAAGAAATAACTTAAGATATAGCATTCTACCTACGTCTTACAGCTGCTAGTTTGATTGTATTTATTATCAACAATTAAAACTATTAATATATAGTTCAATTTAATCGATAATATTCATAAACAAGACTATAATTGTTTTACTATGTTAGATCACTGTTTGTTTCACTCTTGATACCAATAGCAGTATCGATGAGTGAAACAGTTATCTGATTGTTATATGAATTACACAGATTTCTTTCGTTATTCATACCACAACCTTTGAAAAAAAAATTTGATATATTAGTCTTTTTTTTTAATCGGTTTATGCTCATTCAATAATTCAGCAAGATCAATTGAAAATGGCAACTCTTTTGATTATGTTGTGAGCAGAAACTGGAACTATTGCTCATTTAATATACACCCTAATATATGTAGATAAGTCTGAAGCCGTATTGTGCACTGGATACGATAACAAATTGAATACAATGATGCTATAGCCAAAGTTAAGTTGCCAGATATTGCCGAAGAAAGCCGATTAACATGACCATCAGAGATGGGCGGGTACGCAGATTCTCAAGTACGAGTACTGGGCGTCGAGTATGAACACAAGTATTTTCTAAAAAGTGCTTGAGTACAAAACTTTTTAAAAGAACCAAATACCCATGGAAAAGTTTTAGTTGCCTAACTATAGCCATTTTCAGTATCTCTCTGGCTATCAGTTGAAGAAGAGTTAGTTTCTAGTCTTAGTTTTTTTATTTTAATTTTTATTATTTATTTGTTTTACTTTATCTGAACACAGAAGAATGAAACATTATTCTAGAAGATCATTATTGCATTTTAAAAATGTTAACATGCATAATGTTGATGCTGATAGCTTTGAACAATGTGGGCGGATGATAAAGCCGCTTTGAGAAAAAATTCGCTCTATTGGTGCGGATGTTGCAGGAACAATAAAAAATTTCACACAGCCAAAAGTTCTTTGTAAAGTATACCAGTAAAAAATTTCAAGTACTCGAAAATAGTCTAGTATATTTTTAAGTACTCGTAAAAAAAGGTCTCGAGTACGAGTACTGAAAATTTTGTACTCGAGTATACTCGTACTCGCCCATCTCTGATGACCATCTGACTTCGAAAAGGTAAATAATGTGAACTCAGGTATCTGATTAATTTCGTTTTAGCTTTCTGTTTTGGACAGAAGTATAAACATTACAAGAGTGACAGGGCACAGTTAGCTAAACACTATTAACGATTACTAACTGTGCAAAACAAGTCGAAAATTATACGCGATCTATAATCGGTTTTATGCAATTTCTCCCGTTAAAATCGCGCCCCATTTCTGAAATTTTTAAAAATTATTAGCAGACCATTGCAATACAATTCACTGCTACAATAATTCACAACGCTAAAATCTTAAATCAATAAGTTCCTTTTCTTCCTTTCATGTCAGAGTTGATGCCTCCTTATTTGAGGCATTTGCCTGACACACACTGAAGGACAGGCATCACTGAGTCGACAAGTAAGTTTTTTCAAACACCTTCAGCTTTTAAAAGTGCCTCAGTTTAACCCGATTCTCCTTATTCTGGGTACTTTACCTTTTTTTAACCTTTTATTAAGACACAATGAATCATCTAACATCTAAGCTGTACTCTTCCCCTCACGCAAGGATATTACTTCAAATGTAAAATGCTTTTTAGTTGATATAAAATCTACACTCGAAGATCATGTCCAGAATCTTATGACATCTGTTGAACTTCAAAGCCATTGCATGAATTCGTATTCAACGAACACTGAACAGAACAGAAAAAATATTATCATCGGCGGCCATTTTTGGATGTTAGCTTCTTACAACGTATACTATATAAGTCGACAATCTTGAGATCATTTCTGACGGAATCTTGATTTCAGTACTTTCGTCCTGAGAAAGCCATTTTTTTCAGATTTTCAGTCAGAATCTGATGGTGTGTAGTCATACGACCATGGCTCGTACAATTAAAAGCCAGTTGGGTACTCACTAATACACTTGAAATTAAAAAAGAGACTCATTTTTACGAGACTTTTTCTAGTACATATTATAGCTGATATCAAGACTTTTTAGAATGTATATTCAGAGTTCTCTAG